GCATTTGCAAAAGGCCACGTTGCAGGGCCTGTTAGACTCATTGTTGACCACTACTTAAGCAGCAAAACCATGACATCAGCACTACATAATGCCTCAAAGTACAGCCCAAAACGCAACCTTCCCAAACCCATCCTCCTAACTTGGAGAGAAGCCCAAGTGATCCAGAGTAGCCCCACAATAATTCCCAGTAACCTTCAGGATTGCCAGGTTTGATCAATGAAGTCCTGCAGCAGTCAGTCTTGTTTCCACAATACCTTGACATGCCCATGGAACACAAATGGATCATCAATAACACCAGAACAAACAGCAAAGCTGAAAATATACAGCGTTGAGCCCATGCTAACAGCCAGTTATTACTTCATTGCCAGTCACTTTTAAAAAGATACAGGTCAAAGCAATCAAAGGGTTATTCAAATAATCTAAAACAAAGAATAAACCCTCTCAACAGCAATGGCTGAGAAAAACACCCTTACCTTAGCCACTGCCATAAGCTCTGTAGGAGTTCCATTTGTATCCTCCTGTGCAGGTTCAGGGTCTTGGTCTGTTGTTCTTGGGACACTCACTTCATCCAAAAGTGGCTGCACACCATCCTGTGTCTTCTCCTTAGCAGACAGATGCTCTGGCTAAGGAGATGGACAAAGCAAGAAAAGGTACAGCTAGCATGGATGGAAGAAAGCAGGACGCACCGGAGCAAACCACAGAGCAATCAGATACCACTTGGAGATTAACAGAGAGAAATAGAAAGGAGCTTTTCTGTTCTGCTCAGTTTTAACATTTCTATCTGGAGAAGTCTGGGCTACTTGGAAAGGGCAGAAGAACATGAAAGGACAGGAAATAGTGTGAACAAGAAACTAATTGTCACTCAAACTTTTCTCCTCCACAGTAAAATTTATCACTTGAAAAGTACAGTTCTATTCAAGCAATGTTTTCTGGTCATTGCCTGCTGCCTTCTGAAAAAATTTGACCATTGACAAGTGTCCTAACATTGCAGAGCTGATACAGCACAGCACATTTTACAGTTAAGGTGTGGGGGGGGTGTTGTTAATCCTGATGAGGCAAATCTAAGACTGGACAACGCAAAGGGAGTTACCCACTGCTTAAGAGGAGTTACCAGAAAATGCTGTCTGAGCAGTAACAAGTGTCATATTGACACATTTCATTCCAGCTCAAAACATTGAGTAGCTTTATATCTGACACTGATGATCATGTTAGCAATGCACCAAGGAAGAGAAGGAATCGTTTTGGGCAATTAAACAGAACAGCAGAGAAGAAAATGCTTAAGAGAGAGATCTGGAGGACTGCAGTTTCTGGAAAAGGATTCCAAGAACATCAAAATCAGATGGGAGAAAACCTGAATACACTCACATTCCTCTGGTCTCCAAACTGCCAGTTATCCTGGACATTCGCACACATGGATCTCGCTACAATTAATCAGATTTTGCCACAAAAATTCACAATAAACTCAGGTTTGTACAGTCTCAGTCACATTAATCTCTCCAAATACATAACGATGCTGTTCAGTTCTTCAGTTCAGACGATGTATCAACAGTACAGGGCCATTGATGTAAGATATGTAACTTGTGCAGCATTTCTCTAGCACTGAAATGCAGTTGGCTAAAACAAAACCTAGGTAAAATGCCTGCTTTACAAGTTACTGACATTACACCAGCTTTTACTTTTATTCTGGAGAAATGACAGAAAAACAGCTCTGGAGCAGGCCCACTGCTGAACACTTCAATAGCTGACATTCACTTGAAAGGTGCTCTGGCCCCTGCAATAAATGTGTCATGGAAATACTACAATTTAAATAACACAGAAAAGTAGAGTTTGTCACCTGCTGACAAGTGTTCCTGGTGTTTCTAATGGTACTACATTAGACTGCACTGAAGACATGGGTTTTCCTCCCTTCTTAACCCCTTTGTTCATCACTTTCTCCATCTGTTAAATAGCAAAGGGCTCCTCTTTTTAACATGCTTGGAAGTCAAAGGTGTAAAGCAGTATCCATCTCAATCCCCTTTAGAGTTATCTTTTTAATAAAATTGTAGTTGAGTATGACCTTACGCCCTGCAAGAATCGGGATGGCAAAATCGCTTCCTCTCAGGTAAGTTTAGAACAAGCAAGACCCTTAATGCAAATACTACACAACAAGTTCTTCTGGTCTTTTCCCACATTTATGATATCCCAAGTTATTACACATCCTTTGCCAAACCCCAGAGACGCCAGAGGAAAACGCACCATTTCTTGGCTCCCGGGGGTGCAAAACATGAGAGTGCTAAGTCAAACTGGTCTCAGGAATCTGGTACTGGTCTGAGTTCTCAGAGTCCACTCTTTCTCTAACTGAAAAAACATGGCGTGTAAGGAAAGTCTGAGATATCACTGGGCGATCAGAGGACAAGCAGGTAGAGATATATGTACGATCCACATGTAATTGTTTTTATATTATGGTTCTGCTGGCTTTTTATAAAAGCAAAAAGAAACAACTCCACAAAAAACTGCACGGGACCAAAACAATACAATACACGTCTACTGATCCCTGAAGCTGATTTCATTGAGTGACAGCTATGCCACAAACTCCCACCTGGTCACACAGTTCATCCCCGTTCAGCTTTGAGCTCGCTGTGTCACTATCTGCATCTGGAGATTCCTGCT